TGTCTGGTTGAGAGATGACTTGATTCAGGTATATAAACACTTTCCTGGGAGAAAATACTGGGCACAAAAGGGCTCTTTAACCTAGCAGAGAAAGGCAGAACAAGAACCGTTGGCTGGAAGCTGACTCCAAACATATGAGAAATAGGGAGCCAGGGGATTAACAGAGTGAGTGGTGGATTCTTAATCTCTCTACGCTGGCATGATCTTACGCAAGAACTCTTCCAGAAGAGAGCGTCTACACTGGCATGTGCGTTTGTGCAAGAGATGTGCTTGTGCGCAAAAGCATCCATGCCAGTGTAGATGCTCTCTTGCGCAAGAAAGCTCTGATGGCCATTTTAACCATAGGGCTTTCTTGTGCAAGAAATTCATGTTGCTTGTCTACACTGGCCTCTTGTGCAAGAACAGTTGCGCAAGAGGGCTTATTTCTAAGCAGGAGCATCAGAGTTCTTGCACAAGAAGCACTGATTTCATACATTAGAACGTCAGTGTACTTGCGCAAGGACTTCCATCCCTGCTCCAGAAGCAGAAACCAGAACGTGCTGGCCCAGTCCCAAGACTCCCTCCAGCCCAGCTCACTGGGCCAGTGTCCTCCTTGCTCTCTACCCCAGCCCTGCTCCAGCTCTTGGCTCCTTCGCATCAGGCAGCTTCCTCCCCGGTGATGCCTGGGTAGACTGGGGTGTGGGGGTCACTCAGAGCACAAGAAAGGCAGGTCCCTTGCTCTCACTGCCAGCGCTGCAGCCTCCAGTAAGGAGAGGCCTGAACCCTCCCGCATTTGGATCATGCTCAGTGTGGTCAGAATCCACCCAGAATAGGGCTGGAAAGCTTCTAGGAAGTTTCATGTGCAAACTGGGATTCTTCAAAGATTCATTATGTAGCCAGATTTGAGTAGATGTTCCAGGGGTGGCAGAAGACAGCTCCCCCACACAAGTCAGTCCCTGGCCATGTTTCACTGTGCAGAGTTCCTCTGCAAGGGTATGTCTGTTAAGCCGAAATAGCGTAATGTGTGTCTAACAGCATGCCTGTTATTTCAAAATGCTTTTGAAATATTGGGCTTCTTATTCCATCTTCCTGTAAACCTCATTGCATGAAGATGAAGGAAGATGCCAGAATAATGATTTATTTCAAAATTAGGGTTGTGTAGGCAGCGCCAAATTTCAAATTAAGCTACGCAATTTGCATAGCTCAAACTGCATAGCTTATTTCAAGGTACATGCTACTGTGTAGATGTACCCAAGTGATCTAGACCCTCTCCAATCCCATTCCACCCCACATACTCCCATGAAACTGCTCTCACCCAAAGTCTCTACGGACCTCTTAGCCAAAATGCAGAACCATTATTCCTGCCAGATTGTCCTTCAACTAGCAGCCTCCTTCAAAACCATTGGCCATGTACCTCTTCTTGAAATCTTGTTCTCTTCTGTGTTCCATGAATGTCTTCTCCCAGCTCCCCTCCTAACTCTAACCATTCCTTGTGTGTCTTAAGAAGAGACTCCTCACCTCCACCTCTCTAGTTAGCTGTGGGTGTTCCCCAGAGCTCTGCCCTTGGCCCTCTTTGCCTTTGTTCTGGGTAATCTCATCTGCAAACACAAATTCAATTGTCATCTTTGTGCTGCTGACTCATGGATCTACCCCTCTGCTCCTGCCCTGTCTCCTCTGAAATCCTAGCCTGTCTCTGTCATCACCTTGTGACTCTCTAACTCTCCACAGCTAAAACCAAGTTCTTGACTTCCTCCCTGCTGCCTCTTTTCTTAGTCATGGAGAACACGTTACCATCTAATCTGACCTCATGTACAGCACAAACCAGGGACTCACTTGTATTTGACTAATGCATCTTCCAGAAAGGGGTAGTCTGGATTTGTAAAACATCAAGGCTGTGTCTACATTGGCGTGATCTTGTGCAAAAGCGCCTGCTTTTGTGCAAAAACTTGCTGCCTGTCTACACTGACCGCGAGTTCTTGCGCAAGTACACTGACGTTCTAATGTATGAAATCAGTGCTTCTTGTGCAAGAACTCTGATGCTCCTGCTTAGAAATAAGCCCTCTTGCGCAACTGTTCTTGCACAAGAGGCCAGTGTAGACAAGCAACATGAATTTCTTGCACAAGAAAGCCCTATGGTTAAAATGGCCATCAGAGCTTTCTTGCGCAAGAGAGCATCTACACTGGCATGGATGCTTTTGCGCACAAGCACATCTCTTGCACAAACGCACATGCCAGTGTAGACGCTCTCTTCTGGAAGAGTTCTTGCGTAAGATCATGCCAGCGTAGAGAGATTAAGAATCCACCACTCACTCTGTTAATCCCCTGGCTCCCTATTTCTCATATGTTTGGAGTCAGCTTCCAGCCAACGGTTCTTGTTCTGCCTTTCTCTGCTAGGTTAAAGAGCCCTTTTGTGCCCAGTATTTTCTCCCAGGAAAGTGTTTATATACCTGAATCAAGTCATCTCTCAACCAGACAGCTCCCCCAGGCAAGTCATTTGTGTGGCTCTTTTCTATATTCTCTACAATTGTTCAACATCCTTTTTTGAAGTGTGACCCTCAGAACTGGACACATTGTTCCAGGATGGGTGTCACCAATGCCAGATTCCCAGTAAAATCCCCTCCTTGTTCCTATTGGCTCCTCTGTTTATATACCCATGGCTTACACTGGCCTGTACTGCCACAGCAATGGTTTGTCCCCATGACTACATTACCAGCACCCAAGTCATTTGTCTCTCTGACAGCCCCTAATTCACATGCAGGGGGCTAGTGTGATGGTAGAATGAGCAAAGATGCAGGGCCCAAACTGGCAGCCCCTGGGGCAGGCTGGGATTAATGTTGCTCTGGGCTGGGACAAAACAGGCTGCAGCAGCTCCCAAGGCATTTGCCATACATGGCCCACCATGGTCTAGGTGGGCGTGGGTGCCACAGTATGATGGGAGGGGCAGGCTCTCTTGCAGCTGGAGGGGAGTCTCTCACTTTGGCACAGAGGGGAGCACTTTCCCTCAGCTGCAATTCTCCACCACAGCCAAGTTGGAACGATTATCTTGGCCCTAGGCCATGGAGCTGAGGCCCAGTCAGTCTCACCTCCCTCAGAGCAGCAGCCTCCTCACATATCAGCCAGCACATGTGGCTGAAAAATGGCAGCAGCCCTAAGACAATGGGAAGGAGCAAGAGCTGGTAATGGGACCCAGCAGCAGGATGGTGCTTGGATGATACCGTGGGGTGGATGTGGGGGAAGGCCAGGCCCTTCACACCAACTGGGGCAGGGGCTCTGGTGCTTGGGGTACTGCAGCCCCCCCAGCTTGAACAATAACTGCAACCAAGTGCCTGGCATCCATCACATAGAGGGGGTCACACTTTAGATCCATGGCTTCTAGCACCCCAAGAGAAGAGACTTCTTCATTCCAGCTTCCTCCTTGCCTGTCCCAGCAGGGCCAGGAGCCTCTTGTGAGAACATGTCTATTAGGGTGAGACACAATGGCCCATGTCACACAGAGTATGTCTATGCCACAGTGAAACACCCAGGCTACGTCTACATTGGCCCCTTTTCCGGAAGGGGCATGTTAATTTCAGCGATCGTAGTAGGGAAATCCGCGGGGGATTTAAATATCTCCCGCGGCATTTAAATAAAAATGTCCACCGCTTTTTTCCGGCTTTTAGAAAAGCCGGAAAAGAGCGTCTACACTGGCCCCGATCCTCCGGAAAAAGCGCCCTTTTCCGGAGGATCTTATTCCTACTTCAAAGCGGATTTCCCTATTACGATTGCTGAAATTAACATGCCCCTTCCGGAAAAGGGGCCAATGTAGACGTAGCCTGGGTGTTTCACTGTGGCATAGACATACTCTGTGTGACATGGGCCATTGTGTCTCACCCTAATAGACATGTTCTCACAAGAGGCTCCTGGCCCTGCTGGGACAGGCAAGGAGGAAGCTGGAATGAAGAAGTCTCTTCTCTTGGGGTGCTAGAAGCCATGGATCTAAAGTGTGACCCCCTCTATGTGATGGATGCCAGGCACTTGGTTGCAGTTATTGTTCAAGCTGGGGGGGCTGCAGTACCCCAAGCACCAGAGCCCCTGCCCCAGTTGGTGTGAAGGGCCTGGCCTTCCCCCACATCCACCCCACGGTATCATCCAAGCACCATCCTGCTGCTGGGTCCCATTACCAGCTCTTGCTCCTTCCCATTGTCTTAGGGCTGCTGCCATTTTTCAGCCACATGTGCTGGCTGATATGTGAGGAGGCTGCTGCTCTGAGGGAGGTGAGACTGACTGGGCCTCAGCTCCATGGCCTAGGGCCAAGATAATCGTTCCAACTTGGCTGTGGTGGAGAATTGCAGCTGAGGGAAAGTGCTCCCCTCTGTGCCAAAGTGAGAGACTCCCCTCCAGCTGCAAGAGAGCCTGCCCCTCCCATCATACTGTGGCACCCACGCCCACCTAGACCATGGTGGGCCATGTATGGCAAATGCCTTGGGAGCTGCTGCAGCCTGTTTTGTCCCAGCCCAGAGCAACATTAATCCCAGCCTGCCCCAGGGGCTGCCAGTTTGGGCCCTGCATCTTTGCTCATTCTACCATCACACTAGCCCCCTGCATGTGAATTAGGGGCTGTCAGAGAGACAAATGACTTGGGTGCTGGTAATGTAGTCATGGGGACAAACCATTGCTGTGGCAGTACAGGCCAGTGTAAGCCATGGGTATATAAACAGAGGAGCCAATAGGAACAAGGAGGGGATTTTACTGGGAATCTGGCATTGGTGACACCCATCCTGGAACAATGTGTCCAGTTCTGAGGGTCACACTTCAAAAATACGATCGCTGAAATTAACATGCCCCTTCCGGAAAAGGGACCAATGTAGACGTAGCCCCATATCTGGCGCGTGTTAGCTGACTTGGGCTAATGGGGCTCAAGCTGTAAGAGAACCCTGGAGTCCTGGCTTCCAGCTTTGACCCCCCCTTACTCCTTATACCGTGGCCTGGGGAGCCTCTGCAGGGATCTGACTGAACAGACCCGAACTGATTAAATAAACACCTTTTAAGAAATAACACCAGTTTATTTAATGAAAAAACTCCAAAAAAAGGGGGGACAGCTCCCCCAATAAAATGTGTCAAATACAACAGGGGTCTCTCCCCAACCCCAGACAATGATCCCAACATGGACAGTGTGCACAAACCAAATGGGAGAGGCACGCACTTAAACACACCAGGGATTATTTACAGTGCCCTGTGTGCCCAGAGGGCAGGCCTAGGCCTCTTCCATCCCTCATGTACTGGAACAGAGTCCTGCTCGTGCAGCTCCAGCATAGATACAGAGCTCCCTGGGGCACCACACAGCTGGGGGGGGTGTGGGGAGTTATTTGTGGGGGCACAGAGAGATGGGGACCCCACCGGCTCCCATGGGGATTGGGGTGGCCTAGAATGTTCTGACTCTGGCTATGGAAATGTGTGTTGGGATCACATGGGCCTTGGGCAGCTCCCTTCATCCTTATGCTCCTGGGGCAGCCGGCCCAGTCTGAGGGGATACCAGAGCTTTGGAGTGCCTAGCGTGCATGCTTGGGAGACAATCCATGCCCAGCCGCCACCTCCAGCCTGCTGCAGCTGCAAGGCTCAGAGCCCAGGGAGCTCTGGGGAGAGCCAGGACTGAACAGGCCACGTTGAAATGCAAAGGTAGAAAGTGCTGAGCAAACATAAGATTCCTCTGTGGCGCTAGCGCTGGCTGCAGCTCTTTGTGCTTGGGAGACTGCAAGGAGTGAGAGATGCCGGCCTAGGGCAGGCCTGAGCATGGATGGGACAGGCTAGGTCTGCAGGGAACAGCTGGGCTGCTGGGGGTGTTGCAGTGGGGCACCTGCCTGCCATGGCGATTTGACTCAGGACTTCTGGCCCCCAAGCACCAGTTGTTTGGAGCTCGCTACCTGAGACCCTCAAAGGAAGTGGCTCAACCAGATGAGCGACCCACTGCACAGGCAGGAACTGCCTTGGACACTTACTCTGTTGCTTGCAGCTTGCAGCTCTTCTGGGGCAGCCAGTGGCCGTGGCTCAGGGGCCCTTCTGCAGCCTCCCTGTGACGGCAGGGGAAGCAAAGCGACGACACACTCAGCCAGCAAATAACCATCTTCCTGGGGAAGCTGGGCAGGCCTGTGGGTGCCACCTATCCTAGCCCAATGACTTTCCTTTTCACCCAGTCAGGCCAACATGGAGGGCACTAGGAAATTCATGGGAGGTGGCCTGGCAGGTGGTGCGTGTGTGGGGCTCTGCCTGGCTGCCAGTGACAACTGGCTTTATTGCTAGCAGGTGGCTGGAGGAGATCATCTGGCTTCTCATTGCCCTGCTCCTGTCTGCTGCTCTGAGCCATGAGGGCTGGGTGCCGGTGGGCTCTTTAGGACAGAGTGGGGGTGCCCATTGGCAGAGGCAGTGGCACTCCAGGGGGCAAAGGGAAGAGAGGGAGGCAGTCACTGCCATCTCTTGATAATTGTAGCACTCAGCTGGGGCCTAGGGTGCCCTGCTCAGGGCCTGCGTGGGCCTCACACTTGGCAAAGGCAGGATCACTGAGCTCAGGACTCAGCAGTGACCAATGGGAGTTCCTGGACCATTCATGCATGGATTGTGGCTCTCTGCCAGACACTCAGGGAGACAAGGGCAGAGCTCCCAGTGAACCTGAGTGGGAAAATCCAACTGTTTAGCAGCTGCCTGACTTGGGGGGGAGGAGGGAAGTGTGAGCAGCTGAGCATAGGATGGGGGAAGGGGGCGGTGAGAAAGCCCAGCCTGCAGAGACAGAGCTGGCTGCTGTGGCACTAGGTTTTGCTGTCCTGGGGCATTGGCTCCATCAGGGATGTGGCAGAGGTGGTGGAGCACTGCTACAACCGGGCCCTGCTGAATTAGCAGTTAGGTCTTGGCAAACTTTTAGGACAGAAAAACAGGAGGGGCCAGGGGGTGGCTATGCACAGCTGGAGGTCCCAGCATGCCCCTACCTGAGGCCTGGCAAGACAGACTCCCCTCCCCCTTCTCCAAATCCCACTCCCCCACCTCCTACTTCATGCTGCCATCAGAGGCTAGAACAGCAGCAGCAGCATCACCACCACCTGCCAGGGCTCTCCACCACTTGTGAGACAAGGGCCCTAGATGCTAGCAAGTGCCCACTAGCTCCAGGTGGGAGCAGACAGTGGTGGAACGGGTCCCCGTGCCCACAGGCTCTGGGCCCTGGCACAGCATTAGTGACCCGGCCAGTGGCTACAGGAGGGGTTGTAGGATGTGGGGGCACAGGCAAGGCCGGAGCCACTAGACAGCTGTGCCAGAGACAAGCCTTCTCATGCACTAAACTAAACTGCTGGGCTTGGCTGTTCAGTGAGTCACACCTGGTCCAAACTGGTGGGGGGAGGGGGAGTGAGTGAGTCTGTGTTTCTCCATTAAATTCAGTCCTTTTAGCCCATCTCTCTGCAGGGGCCAGCAGGGGTCCTTCCTCGCTGGCCACAGGGGTCCAATGCCGTGTACGCACGCGCTTTCTCTCTCTCGCTCTCTCTCTCTCTCTCTCACATGCACACACACGGAAGCGGTCGGTGGCAGCTGGAGACAAAGCTGGTGATGAGGGGGATGGCAGGTTGGCACTGGGGTGCTCTCTCTTCCAGCCCTTCCAGTGCAGAACATACCAACAGTTACACAAGGAGGGCAGGATGTAGGCGAGAGGCTTCCCACTGGCTGAGGGCTTGGCCAGGCTGGCGGGCGCTGCCCAGCCGTGGGGCAAGGAGGGTGCTGTCACGCCGGCTTTGAGCCAAAGAGTCCGACTGGGAAGTGCTTGACATGGGTGGGCCACTGCGCGGCCAGCTGGAAAAACTTGATGTCGCTCCACTCCACTCCGTCAATGGACACTGCGAAGAAACGGGGGAGGTGAGAGCAGGGCCTAGCCGCTGGCTGGTGGTGCAGAGCAGGGCCTGGGGCAGCTAGCCCCTACTGAGCTACACCTCCAAGGTTCCCATGCCCTCAGCCTGCCTCTGCTACCCCAGCAGGATGGCAAGTGATATTGAACAGACTGGATAATTCCACCTGCCTCCCCAGCACTGGTGCTGTGGGGTGGTGATGAAAGAGCTGCACCACCCCAGCAGTGGCTGCATTTCCACGCTGCACAAGGGTCTTCTGGATTAACAGCTGCCTCACCTCAGAGCTGGGTGCATCTCAGCATCCCTGTGTCCCATCCCACAGGTGGCTGCATCTCAGCGCCAGACAAAGGACCCCTGAGTTAGATGCCTTGCTCCAGAGATGGCTGCGCTGCAGTGGCAGGCCTTACCTTTGAGCATAGTTTGCTGCTGTTTGGCAGAGCAGATTAGCCGGCTGATGCCCTCAATCACCTGGCTCTTGGAATCCACTTCCTTTTCTTTGGGTTTCTTACTCAGAAAGATGGTGGGGACTGGAACGAGAGGCAGGGGAGCCCGGCTTAGCACTGAAGTCAGCATAAGCCTCTCACCAGCATGCTGATGGGAGGGCAGCCGCACAAGAGGCAGGGTGAGGCTAGAACAGCATCCATGCAGCTGGGCCTCGCACTCAGTGCCCAGCCTCTAGGGGCACCAGCAGCTTCTCTGCCCCATGGCAGGAGCTTCAGTGCCGGGAATGGCAGTGGGAGTGTCCCCAGCAGGGTACAATTTGAGTGCTGTTAGAAGCGCCGTGGGGCCTGTAGTCAGCACAGTCTCTCTGAGGGGACCCATGTGGGTACCAGTGGGTCACATTAAGCTCTCAGGGCACTTACAGAGCCTGCACCCCATCGCATGATGGGCCGGGGGCAGTTGAGGCACAGACAGTAGTGATGCCCTCAAGGTCACGCCAAAAGAGTGGAGCCAGAAACGGACCCAGGAGTCCAGGACCCCATCTAGTGCACCCGGAGGTGTTTCTCAGGGCAGTGACTCAGACCTGGCTCCTTTGGCTCACAGCTCAGAGGATAACAGCTGTGGTGCTGGAAACTGAAGCTGACTGAAGTGGCCTGTGGGGCAGGCCCCCCCCTGCAACAGCAGCCAGGAATTAGCCACTTTCCTGGGCTAGGCCTGGCCAAGTTGCTGCTGGCCCAGCCTGGAGCTGCCAGGAGGACTGTGGAGGGAGGAGAACTAGCCCTGTGGGCCAGACCTTCCAGTTGCCTCCTGTTCTCTTCTGCTGGTCACTCAGCTTCCTCGTCATGTGCTTAGAATCCCACTAACCCCACAAGTGGGAGGCACGGACCTGAAAGGACCTTCCCAAGGAGAAGCCGCCCCCCCACCCCGGCAGGCTCAGGTTCGTTACCCGACCACAGAAGGGGGAGCAGGAACCAATAGCTGGGAGCTGAAGCCAGCCACCTTCACAGTGGAAATAAGGCACCAACATACACAGTGTGGGTGATCGTTCCCCCTGTCTCCAAATCCAGCCTGGCTGCCTCGTGGGCAGGTGCTTTAGTTGAACCCAAGCACCCGGGCTGAGTGCTGGAGGCTCAGGCCTGGGACATCCAGAAGGTCAGGATACATGATCTACTGGCCCCTTCTGGCCTTGGCTCTGCCCAAAAGCTGCTCCCCACTCAAGTACCGGCAGCCTGTGATCGAGCCTCCTGCAAGCGTCAGCCCAGGACCCTGCCAGGGACAAGCCTCACGTATGTTCTGCTTCTCCCCACTGGCCACCGGGAGAAAGGCAACATCCAAGCCAGCCAGTGCCCATTGACACCCACACTCAGCTTCTCCCCGTTCTGCCAGCCTGAGGGCGTCTGACCCTGGGCACCCACCCTTCTTGTTCTTCTCTTTGGTGACAACCGTCATGGCCATGGTCCCGGACCCTGCCAGGGACAAGCCTCACGTATGTTCTGCTTCTCCCCACTGGCCACCGGGAGAAAGGCAACATCCAAGCCAGCCAGTGCCCATTGACACCCACACTCAGCTTCTCCCCGTTCTGCCAGCCTGAGGGCGTCTGACCCTGGGCACCCACCCTTCTTGTTCTTCTCTTTGGTGACAACCGTCATGGCCATGGTCCCGGGGCGGCCGCGACACCTGCACCGAGCGGAAGACGCTCTTGAGGGTGTTCTTGGAGCTGGCGTCCCGCTTCTCGCTCTCCTTCCGGCGCTCTGAGGCATGGGCAAGCCAGTAGTCCACCTGCAGGCCAATGACGTCTCCATAGGGGCTGCTGGGAGGCCTGGGGAGAGCAGGGATGCATCAGCAGCAGCTGGGCAGAGCAGGGGTTGGTGCCCAAGGGGCAGGATGGTACCACCCACCTCCCAGAGATGGGGAAACTGAGGCAGAGGAAGTCCCTGCCCAAAGGCCTACAACAAGCCAGTGGCAGAGCTGGAAGGGACCCAGGAGTTCTAGCTCCCACTGCCAGGATAGGGGGGGTCCTTCAGAGCAAACTCGTCTAAGACTCCTGGGCTGATGTCTCCCTGGCTCTGCGATGAGAGTGGCTGTTACTAAGCTCATAGCCCCGGGACAGGATGGCAGGAGACAGACACACACAGACACAAGCAGTCTAGCAGGTTCCCCCGGCTGCTGCTGACTCCTGCGTGGCTCAGCTCACCCCCACACCACCCAGGCCTTGTTTTCGCCTGCAGGAACATGGCAGACATTGCTCTGCCCTGTGGGACGCCAAATTGAAGCCCTGCCCACAGCGTGCTAGGCGCTGCGCATGCACAGACTGCGCCAATCTGCTCACGGGAACATGGCAGACATTGCTCTGCCCTGCGGGATGCCGAATTGAAGCCCTGCTCACAGGGGCTCATGGTTCCTTATTAATGGCCAGAGGGCAAGGCTGCCTCACCCCACAACAGCAAGCCCACTGCTCATGGACGGCGAGGACGGGGGGGTGGCGCAGATGTCCTTCGCCAGGCCGGAAGAGGAGGGGGGAGACGTGGAGGGAACAGTCAGGCTGATCAGAGGCACATCGTCTCCATCTCCTGCCAAGAGAGCAGAAGGGAAGGTTTGGGGGAGGCAGGGTCCTGGCCATGCCACTCAGATTTATTGCTCCAGGGGAAGACCTCTTGATAATCCACAGAGCACCCCACCCCCACAGGCAGGCACCGCTCCACCAGGCTGGGGCATTTCTCTTCCCGAGCTCCGAGGAGGCCCAAGCACGATCACTGGTGGCTGCTGCTCCCAGGAGCTCCCAGGCCTGCCCCACAGAGGCCCTGTACAGTGCTCTGGGGACACCAGGTTAATGGGTGCCACCCATTGATGCCTCCCTGGGCTGGTTCCACAGCCTGAGTGACTGGAGGTCAGAGACTCCCCTTCAGTGCCTGAGCTCCCGCACTGCATTACTCCCCTCCCCCAGCCTGATTCAGTCCCCAGCTGCCCTGGGGGGTCTGGCAGCTCTCCCTGCCCAGGGGAGCGAGAGGCAAAGGAGGAGCAGCTTAGTGCCAGGGGATCCCAGAGCACAGCCTGGGGTTTGGACAGCTCCCACTGCAGTCAAAGCCCAGCTGGAAGCAGGTCCCATTCAGCTGAGGTTGTGCTGGGGGGAGAGGAGGGGAAGAGGAGGCTAGAAAAAGGGGGGAGAGGGGAGTGTCTCAGCCAGGCCCCCAGGCAAACGTGTTCTTGGCCCTGCTGGCTGTGGTGGAAGCTCTGGGCCTGCCCAGCTCTGCAAGGAGCCTACAAGCAGTTCTGTGAGCTACTGAACTGTGTCGCCGGCCTTGGGACACAGCACCAGCTCTGCAGCTCTGTCCCAGCCGGGGGCCCACAAGGGATGTACCTGAGGCTGCAGGGGAATCTTCGATGAGGCCCACTTTAACCACCTGCAGTGGGGAGAGAGATCAGTCGTTCAGGCTGCACTCGGACAGCCCCTCACCTGCTCCTCCTGGAGATCCGGCTCTATCAGAGCCCCGTGGGAAGGGCTCACATCCCCATTGACACTCCATCAGCTCCACAGAGAAAGCGAGGTGGGCAAGACGCGCATGAGCCTTCACCGGGGCTGCCCCCATCCCAAGCACCAGCCACCCCTGGGACGACAGCAAGTGGGGGATGCCTCTCCCAGCCATCAACCCTGGCTGGTGCCCCAGTGCCCAAAGCTACTGCAACCCCACCCTGGGATGTTGCTTTGGGGTGTTTACAATGGCAGGGCATGGAGCCTCCATCACTCCAAGAGTATCTGGCCAATAGTGAGCCCCTCCAGGCAATGGGGGCTGTCCTGCCGCTTTGCTCAGACAGCGTCACCCAGCCAGATGCCCCCGGATCTCTACAGAGCGCCCGGCAGGTACAGCAGAAGCATTATCCAATTTTACAGATGGGGAAACTGGCACAGAGCAGGGACGTACTTGCCCAAGGCATCCAGTGGTAGGGCTGGAAATAGAGCTCAGGACAGTTCTCGACCTGCTGTGTGATAGCAGAGGGCTGGTAGCACTAACTCCAGTCCTCCAAGCAGACCTCTGGAGGACGGACTCAGCAGAGCGGCTCTGATCACTGCTAGTGATTCCCAAGGTTTAAGAGAGGTTTAACCCTCATAGGCCCATGCCCCTGGCATGTTTCTCCTGTGGGCGGCCTGGGCAGAGGCCCTTGGTTTTGGCAGTCCTGGCTCTCTGTGGGAGAACCTCTTGCGGGGAGTCACTGCATTCCCTGCTCATGGGCTCCCCCAGTGGCCAGCCCAGCTCATGTCCCTTGCAGCAGCTGCAGCGAGTCTGAGCAACACGATTCAGCCCCTTTGGGGGTCGGACAATGTTCTCTCCAATCTCTGCCACCCATGTGTGGAACACATTTGTATGTGCACTGCGCCATGTGGGAATGTGCACCACCAACAGAACCAAAACCCTGGCCATGGTGCTCTGCTAATCAGCTGGGCAGCATCTGAATCTCTCCTGAGCAGCCGCGCAAGTGGCAGCTTACATGGTACACTGGGGTCAGAGATGCAATGGGCTTGGCACACCTGGACAGCCAGGCTGCCTGAGAGGTTTTGTTCCTGTGGATCCCACAACAGCACTGGGTCCACATGGACAGAGACCTAGAGAAGCACTGAGAGCTACCTGCTGACCAGGGAGGGGGATTAAACCCCAGAACTGACCAAGGGCTGAGGGCAGGGATTCTCCAGACCCCAGGGCTTAATTTCAGCCTGCTCTAGCTCCAGCACTGCTGGGCTGCAGGCAGGGAGCCCCACCCTGAGTGAGGCAGGGCTCACAATGGGCCTGGCTCCATCTCAGCAGCACAGCAGCATTCCCATGGCCCCATAGAGCTAGATGCCCAAGGGGGCAGCCTTACCCCAATGAAAGGAATGAACTTCTGATAAGAGTCCTCGTCCGGGCTGTGAGGAGAGGAGGAGACAGCTGTTAGAGTCTGCTGGGAGGGGCCAGTGCCCCGTGGCCCAGCAGGCAATGCCCTGCCCTGCACAGAGGAGGGGCACCCGAAGCTCACTGGGCTGAATGAGTCCCCAGCTCCTACATTACTGACAGTGACCACAGCCTGGCTCCCACCGAATGAAGCAGGAAAGTCCCATCTCCAGGCCCCAGGGGCTGGGATGAAAAGGGAACTCGGAGTCCCGAAACACCCAGATTTGGGGCAGCTTTGAGAGAAATGGAAACAAGACAAGTGTCCAAGGTCACATGCTGAGCAGTGCCCAAGCCAGGACCACAACCCAGGAGTCCTGGCTTCCTGCAGCCTGCTCTCACCATCAGTCCGCACTCCCAGAACAGGGACCTATAATAGCTTTGCTAATCCGACTGACGGGCTTTTGGGTGCCTGTAACATGCGACCAGCTTCCCAGCACAGGTCAGTCACCTAGGCGATACTTACAATTTATGCTTGCAAGTCAGCATGGCCTCGGCCACAGGCAGCTGGTGGGTTATGCTGGCTCCAGTCACGTACTGCGTGATGCGGCCCACCACGTCGAATGGCTCTGGGGGCAAAGGGGAGAGAGGGGAGTGACCAGCAAGCCCCCCGGAGCTGCTCCCTGCCTCCCTGTGAGCCACACAGCAGAGCCAGGGAGCCCCCTGCTGGCTGGGTCGCAGTACAGGAGAGGGTGCTCTTGTGGCAGTGAGGAAGGGGGTACGTGGGTCTGAGATGATTCTGCTCCAGGCAGGGGCACTAAGGGAGAAGCAGGTGACCCAGCCTATGGCTCAGCAGCAAGGCTGCAGGGCTGAATCTTACGGTGCAGTAAGAAAGGAAGGGGCAGGGCACGTTCTTGCCCAAAGCGCCGCCCGCCCCACTGGAGACCCCCCGCCCTTACTGCACATCATGCTGGAGCTGTGACCATGGTGCTGGGGGCAGGCCCTTGGGGATAAAGCAGGGCTCGGACAGAACAGCCATTGCCACAGGGGAGCCCAGGCCCACCCCTACCCCTACCCCATGGACCATGCACAGCTCTGGCTGCTCCCTCATGAGTCCCTGGGCAACAGTGACCAACAACCCTGTACCTGCTGCCCACAGAGCCCAGGTACTTGGCTACGGGGTGGGAGCCTGCAGAGGAGAGATGGCTGGTGTTGCTAGAGCGCCCCCTGGGGGTTTCTTAGCTGGGCACTACAGTGCCTGCAGGAGGGGTTCTTCAGTGGGGTGCTTCCAGGGGCTAAGAGCAGCACCTCCTGCAGCCCCAGCGGTGCAGCTATTCTGCTCCTCTGAAAGCAACCTTCTGCATGGCCTGTGACAGGAACGTGATGGTCTTGCTGCCCTGTGGTTGCCACACCCCAGACACCCACCCCATCCTGAAAGGCCTTTACCCAGCCCAGACAGCTCCATGGCAACACAAAGGCTAGGCTGCCTCAGACCCCCTTCCCAGCTGCTGTGCTGACATCCACAGCAAGGCTGGCTTTGCTTGGCCTCTGAAGCACCCGCTACAGACCAGCTGTGCTTTGCTCAGCAGTCTCTCTGCACACCCCTGGGTGTCAGCATCAGAGCCAGCAGCAGCCCTGCCCCTGCAGCTCAGCCACACTAACAGGGAGAGGCTAGAGCAAGGTCAGCACAGCTGGCCATGCTCTGGCTGCTGGGGTACAAGCAGGACTCGCTCCAGCTGGCCAGGTGGGCATGGTCACCTACCCAGCGGGACGATGAGGAACCGCATGTAGCTAAGCCAGTCTGGGGTCTTGTTTGCCAGCTGCTTCACAAAGAACCGGAGGATGGCGCTGAGGTAACTCTGCCCCCCCACAGCCACCACCTTCACTGGCCGCGGTACCGAGGAGTTGCAGTTGCAGCTGAAACGAAAGGAGAATGAATGTGCTTATTGCACCCTCTGCTTGCAGCGTACGACACGTAAACACGCTTGACACTGAGCAGCTCTGGGCTGGGGCACAGGAGCTGTTTATACAGGGATCCTTCACCCTGTGCTGAGATGCAGCCACCTCCTGGGTGGGACATGGGGCTATTTTCACAGGAGTCCCTCGGCCAATGAGGAAGACAACGGAGGCCCCTCACCAGACACAGGGGCAGGCAGGACAGGCAACGAGGGCTGTGATGTACTGAGTTGATGAGTGGCTGCTGTCTCTGGTGCTGCTGTGCCCAGCTGGTAATGACCCCGCGAAGGAGTGTGTAGTAAATCCTAGCAGAGCCCTCAGGTGCTTTGCCCAGAGCAGTGACACCAGCAACCCACCGGCAAAATACAGTAGATGTCGCACTGAGAAAGGGCCCCTCTGAGCTGGTAGAGGCCGTGCAGTGCCTGGCGTAGCTGCTCTCTGCCACGTGGAGCATCCTGTCTCAGCTCTGGGACCCAGTGCATGCACATCAAGCTGTGAAGGTGGCTCTTGGAGCAGCTTCTAATAGCTCCACCCCCTGCCAGGCCCAGGGCATATGCTCTCCCCCCTCATGGCTAATGCCCAGCACGTCCATGGGCCTGGCGCCCTATAGCACAGCACTATGCCTCTAGCTCAGCGGTTCCCAACTGCTGGGAAAAGCAGCATAGGAAACGGCTCACTTGGAGGCTTTCCCCACTGCTCCCATTGGCCAGAATCACAGTCAATGGAGCAGCAGAAAGCACAGAGTAAGTGCCTCCACATCCCCTAATGCCCTGCATCCCCATTGCCCTCATGCCACCTCTTCTCACTGAGATTCCCCCACACCCACCTGGCACCATCCCTCCCAGACCCCCATCCTCCTCCTGTACCCTTACTCCCAGACCCAGCCATGCTGCTCCTGCATCCTCCCTTCTACCCAACCTCCCCCCCCAATCCTCAGCATGTTTCTGCACCCAACATCCTGGACAGACCCTGCACCCATTTTGTCATCCTGGGTGGCAGGTTGGTGGTCTGCACAAAGGTCTGCGTTGGGTGGAATGGGCTGTGGGCCAAAAAGTTTGAACACCACCGCTCTAGCTGACCTTGGGCAGCTGCAGTTAAACATGCTGCACAATGGCCACCACTAGAGGGCATCAGAGAACCACCGACTTCCTCGAGGCAGCTAATAGGGCCAAAGAAAGGAGCTACCACATTACTTTGGGACAGCCTGCTGCCAGGTGACGGGAAGATCCTGCCGTGTTGGTACAGTGACGCCTTCCCGGCTATGCCATCCTAGAGCCCCCAGCTCTCGTCCTCTTCCTGTATTTCACTAGCATGGCTCTTCTGTTCCCCTTTTCGCCCACGTGGCTCTGCTGGTGAAAGAACATCTCTGCTGCTGCTCCTCCCCATCTCCCCTGACGGTGCTTAGGGCACTGGCTCTTCCCCCCTCTGCCCTTTAACTATGCTCAGCACTTTCAGAAGCCGCTCACAGGACAGATGCCAGCCAGCTGCTGCAACATCAGCGCTCAAATCCCTTTTTTGGGGGACATGACAGCAAGGCAGGGGAGTGAATCTGTGGGATGCAGTGGATTTGCTAACAGCCTGTGCCAGCAGGAACAGGACTCAGGGGGCACCTTTTAGTACAGGGCTGAGCAAGATGTGTCCTGGGGACTGGCTCCAGCCTGCCTAACACTTGGATCTGGCCTGCAGACTGCATCTGGCTGCTTTCTATTTGTATCCTGTTGCCTGTGCCATCAAATTTCCAAGAGTTGGGTCAGGCAGCAGGCTCCAGTTGCGGTTCTCTCCATGCAGGGACTGGAGCCATGAGCCTTCTAAACAGTCGCAGCAACCCTGGGCGGCTGCAAAGCAATGGCAGTAGCAGCGGAGCCAGGAGCTGCGAGCCCTTTGCTATGTTTTTAATACAAATCCTCCAGCCCCCGACAACTCTGGAGGGAGGCTAGTCTCCAGCCCCGCCCTTCCCATCCCAGGCACTACACTTTCCTGGTGTGGAGATGGCCCATGACCACATACCCTGTGAAAATTATTGCCCACCCCTTCTCTAGTCCTATGTCCGAATGAAAAGAGGGCAGCAATGTTCACACTCAGGTTGGCTTCTCCCGGGGAAAGAAGCCTTGGCCCATGTTATCCTTTCAGACAGACCTCCAGAGGGGGAGGGCTGGCAGTTGACATGGAGAGGGTGATTTGCTGAGGCAAACAATCAGCTTCCATTTCTTGCCTTTTATGATCTACCCAGCCAGGTCTGGTTTCAGCACCCTTCCTGCAGGCAGGCACGTGACACAGACTTTCATTTATTTACTTCGAAGAGTCAAACTGGAACATTCCTGGAGGTCTCCTTGGGCACGCAGGAGAGGTACTTTGGGAGTTCACTCCACTCTAGTGAATGGATGGGGTCAGCAAAGAACTTTCCTCCCAGCTGTCTAAAGAGTATCTAAGTTGCAGGTGTTACTACGTCCTAATACAGCCTGCGCCTTTCCTAGCCATTAATTGACTAATCAATAGGCACTTCCACACTTCTCCTTTGAAATGTACCAGAGCCCCAGCAGGCTCTTGTACATTTCAAAGGAGGAATACAGAACTCTGCCTACAGCCTGGAGCCAGCGGGAAGTCCTGCTCACTCTGGGCTGCCTGCTGGTGCTTGTTTTGAAATGCACAAGAGAGTCCCCAGCAGGGGCTCTTGTGCATTTCAAAGCCACGGAGGCTGGGGTCAGCGAGGGACTCTCAGTCCCCCACTGACCCTGGGCTCCATGCTATGGGCTCCCCCGCCCCTTTGAATTGCGCAGAGGCAGCAGTTTCAAAGGAGCAGCTGCTACACAGCTGTGCGACAGCTGCCCCTTTGAAACTGCTCCACACAATTCAGAGGAGGGTAGGGGAGCCCGCGGTCAGCTGAGGACTCCCCAGCTGAGCCCGGGCTCCCTGCAAGCCTGGAATCAGCTTAGGAGTCCCCAGCTGACCCTGGGTTGCACGCAGCACTTCCCTGGAACCCGGGGTCAGCGAGCTCAACTGCAGCTGCCACTTTGAATCATGTGGAGGTGGTGGGGCTGCCCCTTTGAAACGCTGCCTCCATGCAATTCAAAGGGGCAGGAGAGGAGCCCAGGGTCAGCTGGGGAGTCCCCAGTTGACCCCAGATTCTGTGGAAATGCCATGGGGAGCCCAGGATCAACTGGGAATCACCAGCTGACCCCGGGCTCCAGGGCTGCCCCTTTGAATCCCTGCAGAGGCGGTGTTTTAAAGGGGCAGCTTGCCGCACAGCTGATCCCAGGATCAGCTGTGCAGCTGCCGCCTTGGGGTTTCAAAATGGCAGCATTTGAAATACCTCTTCCCTGCCCCACTTTGCTGCCTCTATTTCAGAGAGGCAGCCAGGGGAGGAATTGACTAGTCGACATTAGTATCTGATAAGCAAATGCTTATTGGATAATCAACTAGTCTTTAACATCCTTAGTTTGGACTGGCAATTCTTTTACTGGCTCTCCTGTTGCCCATAGAATTTCCTAGAGAGACAGAAGGCTGATGGTTCATGACTTTTTAACAATCACATTTTGGCTTGGTTTCTTTAAGGGAAAATCTTTCTATATCTGAAATAAGCCCCAAGCACCTGTCTCTGCCATGCAGGTGGAAGGAGATGGCTGTGTGGGGCAGTCAGCCGCCTGCATTACAATCAGCTCACCTGAAAACCACCCCAGGGATCAGACAGCTTTTTAAAATGCCACCATAGCTGCATCCCCAGCCAGCTGCTGCTGAGTCAGGGCTGCGGAAGTCACGGAAGAGCCTGTGTACCTGCCCTGTTGGCAGCATCTGCAGAGCACCTCTAGCTGCAAGGAAGCAGCCCAGTGTTGGACCAGGCTAGGTACAGAGCTGCTGAGGACTGCAGAGGAGACCTAGGCAGCTCCACTTGTGCATGGAACAGGTTGGGGTGTGTCCCTCCAATACCACGATATTCAGAATCATGTGCAAGAGAATGATGGAAAGACACCAGCCTTCATGTTCCTGCATTACGAACTCTGTGGCAGCTACCTTCACCCTGAGGTGCTACACCCCACAGCATCAGTCATCTACTACTGGAATGCAGCCTTCTCTGAGGTGGAATACAGCAGCACTGACACAGAGATAGTTCATCTAGCAAGCAAATGCAGCCAGCTCTGGAGAGATGGGGAAGCGAGTTATAGAGAGAATGCTTGCCCAGCAATGAAATGCCTCCGTTATTGGGCACAGGGGCTGTTTGTACAGGGATCTCTTGCTCAGGGCTGAGATGCAACCAGCTCTGGTGTGGAACACAGCAGCCATTTGACAGAGCACATAAAGTAAAGCAGCCAGGGATGTTTTAAACAGGTGGAATATCATTACCATGCTGGACTCTGGACAGGACCCTGGGGACTAACAGGCAGGAATGTTACACTGTCAGGAGCCATTGAATGAACATAAGTGGCCAGGATCTTGGTTTTATTTCCCATCTGAAAACAGCACCTCAAGTGGCCCAGGACTAGCATCACCTCCGGGCAAAAGTTCAGTCCTGGACTTGAACAAAGAGCTCCCCCTACTGGAACAGCCCTTCCACCGGCTTCACTACACTGCCGACTACCCCATAGTTACTGGATCCAGGACTAGCCCAGAGGAGAGCACTCCCTACTGAATCCTACAGCCAGATCCATGCAGCACAGCGCCCCCTAGCAGCATGTTGGAGCATTGTTTTGGTATTAACCGAGGGGAGAGTGCCCTCTAATGAACCTCCAACATCACAGAATCAGAGAATACTACACTGGGAAGGGACCTCAAGAGGTCATCGAGTCTAGTCCCCTGCCCTCACAGCAGGAGCAAACACTGTCTAGAATCTAGATCTAGACTCTAGATCATCCCTGATCGATGTTTAACCTGCTCCAGTGATGGAGATTCCACAACCTCCCTAGGCCATTTAATCCAGTGTTTAAGCACACTGATGGTTAGGACATTTTTCCTAATGACCAACCTAAACCTCCCTTGTTGCAGTTTAAGCCCAATTGCTTATTGTCCTATCATCAGAGGCCAAGGAGAATAATTTTTCTCCCTCCTCTTTGTAACATCCTTTTAAATACTTGAAAGTCCGCTATCATGTCCCGTCTCAGTCTTTTCTTTCCTAAACTAAACAAACCCAATTCATTCATTGTGAACCGTTAATAACTACTCTCTGAGAATAGTTATCCAGCCAGTTATATACCCACCTTATAGTAGCCCCATCTAGGTTGTATTTCCCTAGTTTATTGATAAGATCATGCGAGACCACGTTAAATGCCATACTAAAGTCTAGCTATACCATGTCCACCACTTCTCTCTTATCCACAAGACTCGTTCTCATATCAAAGAAAGCTATCAGATTAGTTTGACATGATTTGTTCTTTACAAATCCATGCTGGCTGTTCCCTATCACTTTATTATCTTCCAGATGTTTGCAGATGAATTCCTTAATTACTTGCTCCATTATCTTCCCTGGCACAGAAGTTAAACTGTCAGGTGTGTAGTTTTCTGGGTTCTTCTTATTTCCCTTTTTATAGATGGGCACTATATTTGCCCTTTTCCAGTCTTCTGGAAACCCTCCCAACTTTCATGATCTTTCAGAGATGATAGCTAAAGGCTCAGATACCTCCTCTATCAGCTCCTTGAGTATTCTAGGATGCATTTCATCAGGCTCTGGTGACTTGAAGACATCTCACTTTTCTAAGTAATTTTTAACTTGCCCTTTTTAAAATTTTAACTTATAAACCTACCTCATTTCCACTAGCATTCACTATGTTAGGCATCTCATCACCAACAAACTTCTTGGTGAAAACCAAAACAAAGAAGTCATTAAGCACCTCTGCCATTTCCAAGTTTCCTGTTACTGTTTCTCCCTCTTCACTTAGCAATGGGCCTACCCTGTCCTTGGTCTTCCTCTTGCTTCTAATATATTTGTAAAATGTCTTCTCGTTACCCTTTATGTTTCTAGCTAGATTTAAGCTCATTTTGTGTCTTTGCCTTTCTAATTGTGCCCCTGCATACCTGTGTTGTTTGCTTATATTCATCCTTTGTAATTTGACCTAGTTTCCACTTTTTATATGACTCCTTTTTGATTTTTAGATAATGTAAGATCTCCTGGTTGATCCAAGGTGGTCTCCTGCTGTACTTTCTATTTTTCATACGTAGTGGAACAGTATGCTTCTGGGCCCTTAATAATGTCCCTTTGAAAAACTGCCAACTCTCTTCAGTTGTTTTTCCTCTTAGTCTTGTTTCCCATGGGACCTTACCTACCACCTCTCTGAGTTTACTAAAATCTGCCCTTCTGAAATCCATTGTCTCTATTTTGCTGTTCTCCCTTCTACCATTCCTTAGAATCATGAACTCTATGATTTCATGATCATTTTCACCCAAACTGCCTTCCACTTTCAAATTTTCAACCAGTTCCTCCCTATTTGTTAAAATCAAATCAAGAACAGCTTCCCCCCAGTAGCTCTGTCAACCTTCTGAAATAAGAAATTGTCTCCAATACAATTTTAAAAATCAGACATTTGATGATTTCAGATATTTAAATCTGA